GCTCTGACTATTGAGAGGATTGCAAATAAAATGAATAAGCAAGCATACTTTAAAGCAAGAAAAACACTTTAAAATTCGACGTTTGTATTTGTAAAAACTAAGAGTTTTATGACATGAGCAAATGAACAGTAGCCTACAGAAGCTGTCTGATTACCTGTTTGTAATTACTATTGTAATTGTTTCAGGCCTGTGTTAATACTTTTTTAAAAATATAAATATGTGTTTTATCTGTATTTGATATATTTTTATTTATTGGTCTTGGACTATAAATAAACTTCAACTTGATGTCTGGTTTGACAGCAAGGTATGAACTCTCTCCCTCAAATAAATAGTGCCCCATTTATGCAACCAACATGGTACAATAATGCTTATAACTCTCATTTATTCTCCCAGTGTTTCTGTGATGTTAGATGTGATTTTCAGATGCATATTTAAGGCCATTTTTCCAGTAACCTTTAGTTAATATGAACTTCACTGAATATTTCTGCAGCCTTAACATTTTATTATTAGTTATAGTACACAGTGTCTTGCTTTTCCTCTAGAGGTACTTAGGGTTCCATCCAAAGGGATTTACAAGACCAGATATGATTAGCTTCAGCTGGTGCATTATATCATGTTAGACAATTATTCAGCTATCCCATTTCATTGCTAAAATTAATATTTTATGCATTCTTTTGTTTAGTTTATTTTACTAGAGAATGCCGCATGTGTAGATGTTGTATGCTTGCACAAGTCTTCCTTTCCTAGGTTTGCCTTGGCTGCTTTGACTTAAGAACAGCTGGCTTCTCTGCAGTTATGAGTCACATCTTGTCCTAAAATGCTAATACAGACATCAGATATTCCTATGTGTTAGCTTCTAGAATACTGCTTCTGTATTTAAAAATAGCCATAAATAGTTTAATTTTAAGGTTATACCTTTTCTTTAGAGGTAGAATATGTACTAGTTTCTTCATATATCCTTTACATTCTCTTGTTTTGAAAAAAAAAATTCTCAGAGCAAGGATGATGAGTAAACAAGTTATATAAATTTGTGAGTTGCAAATTATCCCAAGTGGTAAACTTGCTATAAGATTAGTGTGCCATCCCCAACCCCTGTCTTCCTGGTGCTAAAGAGCAGGAATAATTCTGTATTATATATATATGTGTGTGTGTGTGCGCGCATACACAAAATTTCAGTTGTATTATCCTGTCAAGTATTTTGTGTGTTTGAACCTTTTCTAGTAGTGGAGTTTTGGAGGAGCTAAACAAATGAAATGAAAATAGAATTTAAAGGAAGACATTGTCTATACATTTAAGCCTGCATTTTTCTCTGAAATATTTATGGGCTATTTTTTGTTTTTCAGAATATAGCACTGCTTGGGGGACACCCTTTTGTTGGATTTTATCTATGTCCAGCTAACTGCTGCTTTCAGCTATGGAATCGGTAAATATCATGCTATTTTCTTATGCCTTTTTACTTTTTCAGTGGTATAGTTTACATAAATATGATTTTAAAAAATAGAAAGTGGGTAGTGTTTTTTCATGGCACTTAAATAGAAGTCTTTTTAATGGTAAGTAGCTGAATTGGTGCTGGTTTGTAGCACAGGGTAATGTCTTAAACTTGCTCAGAAATCATAGTTTTGTAAAAAATCAAATATAGCAAGCTGCTTTTACCTTCTGAGCCCTTCTGCTGATTGCAGTCTAATGTGAGATTGGCTGTTCCCTTTTTTCTCTCATCCCCTTGCCAGGAGAGAGTTATGTGGAAAAGGTTATATCTGATAGCACTTGCTACTTGCTGCAAGTGACCAAGTGCTGAATGGCAAGATAGTTTTATGATAGGTTATTATACATCCTTGGCTGCTGGCTCAGTAGTGTTTTTGCAGAGTACTGTGCCGAAGCCTAGCTTTATTCATACATCTGAACCGAAAAAATCATGGTAATGTGTTAAATAGACCCCAAAGATCTTTTCTTTTTTCTAAAGTCTTTGCCAGTTACTATTAAGTGATCACTAACTTGCAAAGAAACAACTGAAATTGCACTTCAGAATATTGAACATGATTTTTAAAGGGGTTTCATTGCACTGTAACAGCCATTCAGCAAGTATGGTGGTCTAATTATGGATTGTGCTGTAGATTTGTACCTGACTCTCCTCTCTTCCATCTATTTGAATCTATGCAAAAATTATACATTAACCAACTTTTCAATTCTGGTTGAGACTCAGCCATGAGAGGCAAGCAGAGTGACTTGTTAGTGAAAAGGAGTGTTCTTTTCTACCCACTTCTGCAGGAATGCTAGGAGAGATTCATGTCCTTCAGTTCAGCTGAAGACCAAAGTCCCCCAGTTGCTTATAGCCTGTGGACTAGTGTTTGCCCATCGTAGTGCTCCTAAAGGGTAATATGGCCAATGTTTTAGTACAGGATGGTTGTTAGCCTTTTGTTTGTCTGTCACTTAGAGTTAGAAAATATTAGTATCCTGGCAACTTTGCTAGATAAAGGATTGTTTTCCTTCTGCAGTTGGAAAGTTCTCTATCAAAGTATATTCTTACTCCAGTCTATAGCTGGAGTAGCTGTTACTGAAAAGCAATTATTAGAAAATGTGATCTGTTACTGAAATTAATATATCAGAGCAGAAGATCTAATTCAGTTAACTGGAGTAATTACTTGAATTTTTTGATTAAGGCTCTAACTGAAGTTGAGCCCATTAAATCATGAGATGTGATTTTTGGTCCATGAGACTGTAAGAATTCTAGATGACAAATTGGCAGCGTTGGGAAGCCTGTCAATTGCCCATCTATTCAGTAGTGACATTTTATTGATGGAGATCTCTGTTAATTAAAAATGGTATTTTGCTTTGATGAGCATCAGTTCTTCTCTGTGAAACTTAATACAGGCTATGTATTTGTAGTGGTGTTACCTAGTCAGTGTTGGCTGATCTTGAAAAAACTGGATTTGTAGGCTAGCCTGGCAGGTTGGAAAAAATCATGGAAGGAGGCTGTGACAAACCACTTCCATCCTATTGCTAACAAAAGCTTGAGTGCTTCTGCTTAACTGCCAGGAGTCCAGTCTGATTTGAGGAGGCTTTATTTTATATGCAGTAACAATTCTTTTTTCTTTCTAATCCAGTGGAATATTGGAAATAAATTATATAAAGGACCTCAGGACTTTGTCTTTTGATCTGCCTCTCTTTCAGCAGGATAACTTTGAAAACTGAACAGAACTGGACCAAATGTTGGGGGTGAGGTGGGAGACAGCAGAAGAAAAAAATGAGTTAAAAATGGTTTACATCCAGCTGGGCTCTGTGGAGAAAAAAAATCCCAGTTGCATCCCTATGGGAAAGGCAGTTCAGCAATGGCTCAGAATGTTGCCGAATCCTCCATTATAAGCCCTCTTCCCCCTTTCTTCCTGGTTACGAGACTCAGGAGCTGTTGTTTCAGGGTTGGCACATCCTTATGAATCACTGCTGAATGCACTATTTTTATTGTACTTTGATCAAATAAATTATAGTTGCTGTAGCTTTGACTTTACATATTGGGTGTGAATGTTGGCACTCTTAGTGTTAATGCTGTTTCAAACTTTAAAAAGGGTTAGTTAAATGCATTCCAGACAGAATACTCAACTTGCCTACCATTTTTCACAAAAAAATCTGGGTCTTGTAAAGGTCCCCAAAAGATGAGTGTCAAGTGACAAGTGTCACCGCACATATTCTGCATTTTGATGACGTAGGGCTTAAAGATGATATTCCCATGGACATAAAAACAGACTTAAAACTGTTAATTAGAGGGCTTACTTTCATTATCTTATGGAGATGTTCTTTTGATTGACAGTGATCCATTGAATGTGCATACCTATAATCCTTTACCAAATTTCCAATCTACAACAGTACTAAAATTTCATTTATTTCTGATTTATTACTTATTTAAAAGTCTCATGCCAATGATGAATGATAAGGGGTAGGTTGCTGGAATGTTGAGTGTATACTGATATCTAGGAATTATAGCATATTTTTAGATTGAATTGGAAAAAGTACTTTTTCATGCTAGAGTATTGAAAGAGCAGTAGCCGTCTGGTAAATTGGAAAGGTGATTCTTGGATGGGGAATTATTTGCAAATAATGATAGGCTGCCATCAGTGGATTCTTGACTTGCTATGAAGGAACATACTATTAATGAAGCTGAGCTGCGGTTGTAAAGGTGACTAGGAAACAAATATGCTCTTACATTGAGCTCTAGTGAAATACCAAAAAATGCAACACAGCAAAGTTGTTAGGTCTTTGAAGTACTTATGCCACGTTAATAAACATAATTTTATGTGCACATTCCTCAGAGTTAGCCAGCTTTTGTTTTCTTGTAGAATGCTGTTTCTTATCATTACGATCCAAAACCGATACACTGGGACTTGGTGACTTCAGAAACAAAGAATTTTGATGTATACCACCTGACAGCTGGTGTAATTCTCACTGCTCACAATTTTCTGTACGGAAATTGATAGGTCAAGTCTTTCTTTGAGCAGGAGTGAAATTCAGATAATGGATTCAGCAGTAGAATTTCACAAAGTTTCCCGTGAAATGTAGGTGTAAGAATAAGAGGATGAGTATAGTTATGCCTCTAAATAGAAATTTTCCAACCTTAAATCCTGCTACATTTTGACTTCCCAAGAATACAGTTACAAAATTAAGGGTAATAGTAAAAAGAGAGCTTTACCGTGTGATTCAAGAGAGAAGCTATCTTCTGAAAAGCTGCATGTTATAAAGTAAAATGCTTAGACAAAATGAGACCAAATTATTAGGCTTTTATATTAGCAAAATTACATCTTGGGTACACTGCCATTTAAATTATTACTGATTCTTGAATGATTAGGGAAAAATTGTAATATAGCTTGAGCTATTCAAAACCTTGAGTTAAATTTCAACTGCTTTCCTGAATATATTTTCAGACATTTTCTCCTATTAAGGTTAGAAATTGTGTCTTTCTGTGGTATAATGCTGAGAGAGAAAAGGTTAAAATAGTTGGTGTGAATCGATGAGGATTGGGAATGGAGAGATAACAATAGATCCATATGGGCTTATAAAATTTCTCTAGAATGTGTTAACTATGTTCTATAACATACACATTCCTTTCTCTGGAATAGCTCAAGAGTTTACCCACATTGCTGCCATGGGTTATGACCAAAAATATTGTGAAGACAGTATGGTTTGTATGGCATGGGCAATGATTCTTGATCATTCTAGTATGTTAGTTTATAAAAAAATTGCATGTATGCTGTTTTGAGTTTTATTACTCACTATATGACAAGACTCATATATTCTTACAGTTATCTTTTAAAATAGCTTTCAGCTGTTTTTCAGAGTCAGGCTCATATTACCTTTATCTTTTGTTTTGTAAAATACACCAGTTGTCTGCACTCTTTAATAGTAAACAAAAACATTCCCATGAAGGTTCGGTTTATTTAATTTAATTCCAATTTGTTCAAAAGCACTTTCACCCAAAAAAATCTTTCAAAATAACTGTCCCCTTTATCTGTTTTAAGCTTTCTTACATTGACTCCTTGTTAAGCTTTTTGCCAAAAGTTTTTAAGTCTTTAAAACCTTTTTTTTAAAAATTCCTTTGTAATCCAGAAAAAATAATTCACCAAGTGGAATTTTCTTATCCTGCCACTCAGAAAATCCCTCTTTAGCTGTACATTAGTTACATCTGAAAGTGGTTAAGAAATTAGCCTTGTGCGAACCTTATGTCCATATAGGCTGCGTTACGGCTGTGAGCTTGATTGAAATCCCTCGACTCCGAGCCATTCAACTCATGAGCTGACTGTAAAAACCTCAGGTCCTGCAGTCTACTCAGGAGGAATAGCTGTCTGGAGTGCAAGTGGGCGATCTCACATTCTTTCCTTTTTCTGGAGAGACTTATCCAGCCAGAATTCACCGTCTGGCTGCCAGTCTCCACTGCAATGCTGTCCCTGCTCCTTCAGGGACATCTAATTCTCCATGAATCGTCACTGGAAGCTACTAAAGTTTCTAAAGTAGAGATATTACCAAAGACTTTTTCGGATCATAATCCTGTGAGTTTGGTTTATAAAAGAAAATCTAATTCTTAGAGATATTACCAAAGACTTTTTCGGATCATAATCCTGTGAGTTTGGTTTATAAAAGAAAATCTAATTCTTAGAGATATTACCAAAGACTTTTTCGGATCATAATCCTGTGAGTTTGGTTTATAAAAGAAAATCTAATTCTATTAGATGGAGACTAAATGAAATGTTCCTACAGAAAGAAGCAATAGTGGAGGATTATAAAAAGAACACAATTTTTTCAAAATAATTTAGGTAAAGGCACTGATTTAAGAATGGTTTGGGATGCAAGTAAAGCTTTTATTAGAGGTTATTTTATACAACATAACAGTGAACTTAAAAAGAAGAGCCAAGAGAAAACAGAAGCTATTTTGGATGAAAT